CACCGTTGAGGAAAATGAATGTTGAAAAGAACCACACTGGCCCTGGCTTTGTGTGTACCTGGCACACTGCCCAGCCCCTCGTGGGATGCAGCCTCTCTAGACTGAAAGTTTGGTGTGAGCTTGCTCTGTGGCAGTTGTGCTCCATGATGGGTTAACTTTAAAGGAGCATGAGGGAATTTATCCAGGTAGAAAGGCCCAGATGTGTTTGGGTGTACAACATCCAGGAAAGTAACTTTGGGAAGGAAGAACTCAACAGGGAGGGTCCTGTGGATGGTGTGGTGACACTGGTGGGGAGTGTTAGTGTTCAGGCATCTGTACTGGCCTGTCCTGGGCTTCTGACAGGATACGCCCTCAGCGGCAGCCACTAAGAGCACCACTATGAATATGCAGTATGCTCCCTTTTAAAAGAACCCTGTCCTCCTCCTATCCTTCTCTGTTCTCTCCCTCTTTCTCTCCCTCTCTCTGTCTGTTCCCCCTCTCTCTCCCCCTTTTTCCTTTCTCCTCTCTCCTGTTGCTCCTGTCTCTGGAGGCCGCAGGATACGCCCTCAGCGGCAGCCACTAAGAGCACCACTATGAATATGCACTATGCTCCCTTTTAAAAGAACCCTGTCCTCCTCCTATCCTTCTCTGTCTGTTCTCTCTCTCTTTCTCTCCCTCTCTCTGTCTGTTCCCCCTCTCTCTCCTCCTCTTTCCTTTCTCCTCTCTCCTGTTGCTCCTATCTCTGGAGGCCAGTCTCCCCACTTCCCTTTCCCCCTTTTATGATCCCTTCCCCAAATGAAAAAAACAAACAAACAACAACAACAACAACAACAACAACAACAAAGACCTCTGCCTGAACCCTGTCGCATGGTCCACTTCCCTTTCCCCCTTTTATGATCCCTTCCCCAAATGAAAAAAACAAGCAAACAACAACAACCAAAAAGACCTCTGCTTGAACCCTGTCGCATGGCGTCTTTCTCTCAAGTGCTGCTTTTCTTAAATTACAACAGGGAGGAGGAAGGAGCAAAGAGGAAACTTAGACAAACTTCAGCTAGTGTACGGTCTACCAAATTCTATCTTGCAGCTCAAAAGGCTGAGTGAGGGGCTGGGGCTGCAGTGAGACACACCTCCGAAGAAGAAGGCTTCTACTGGCCCTGGAGCTGAGAAGCCAAGACTGGCCAAGTGAACAGGGAAAGAAAACCCACCAGCAGCACCTGCTTTTCCTGACTTTCAGCCTAGAGCTCTGGGAAGAGGATGAACAGGTGACTGGGGGGACCAGGAACAGAGTGGATCCAAGGCTGGCTGTCCACACACAGCCCGGTCCCCAGTGACACTCAGGATAGCCAATAACCCCATGTGGCTCAGGTGAGCCCTAGGTCTTTGAAACTCCATGCTAGACTGCAGGAGAGGTAAGAAAGCAAGTAAAGGGGGGAAAGTGGCTCCCTCCACCCTCAATGCTGAGCCCATTGCTCACCACCCAGCAGTGTCTTCCTGCCCCTGCAGAAAGCTGCTCTGCGATTCCCACTTTATGGCCTCTGCCAAATGAAGCACAAATTTAACTACATCACTTCCCCAACAGGACAGGGGAGAGGATGGGGGTGTCATGCTGGGCTCCTTCAGCCCCCTAATCTAATCACTGGTGTGGGTCATTTCAATTACGGACAGCAGAGAGCAGTGGGGGATGTGGCTGCTCATAAAAGCCTCATGCTGGGGCTCAGCTAATTATGAAGTTTTCACTGTCTCTGCAGGTAAATAACTCAGAACTGAGCAGTGGCAACATCCAAGGAGTCAGAACTTGGGGACTGAACAGGACAGAGACAAGACAGGAACAGACATAGGCATAGACAAGGTGACAAGGAGAATGAGGTGGGGCTCCTCGACAGAGGGTGGGAATTCAGGGGGTAGAAAGAGGCCTGTCCTTCCCAGAGTAAACATATATAAGAACTTGAGTCTGTCCGCCATCTAAGGACTCTTTCTTGAAGCCACACTCCTTTTGTGGCTACTCTGTGTCCCTGGTATTCACCCTCTTACTTTGGGAGTGAAGCCACAGGAGACTTGCTATGTATGGAGATTTCAATGCTAGAATATCTGTAAAAGGTGACAAGGGTATCCTAGGATGCAAAGAACACTCTCTGTCACCCCACTATTTTCAACACAAAAAGGCTGGGTGTGTAGTTCAGTTGGTGGAGTGTTTGTCTAGAATGCCCAGGGCCCTGGGTTTATTCCACAGTACTATATAAAACCAGGTATGGTGATGCATGCCTATAATCCTAGTATTGAGGAGGTAAAGGCAGGAGGATCAGAAGGTCAATGTCATCTTCAGATGAATATCGAGTTAGAGTTGAGCCTGGGCTGCATGAGTCTCCATCTTTAAAAAATTCAAGACAACAAAGCAAAATAAAACAAAAACAATCAAATGAACAAACAAACAAGGCTACAGAGCTCAGGAAGGTCACCACAGCATCCCTATGAAAGTTATCTTGAGATATTTGGATGAAAAAGAGGCTTCTTGGCTACCCTGGGACCTGTGCTTTTCTCCATATTTTAGACATCACCCTGGAACTGTGATTTCCTAGGTTATGGGGAACAAAAGATGGCAAGAGCAGTCGCAGCTGGGAGAATCCATTTCTTTTTCTGTTCCTCAGTTTCCTTCCTCTCTGAAACAAAACTCATGAAAAGGATGAGCACATGGAAGGGTTAAGCTAAAACCGTTCTGTAAATCAGGGCTGCTGGCCACCATGTTCCTTCCAGGGCAAATCACACCCTCCCATGAGATAGGTAGAGCCATGTGCTCATAACACTAATGCTTTGGGCTGCAGATCTGGCCCTGGGACTGCCAGCTGATATCAAGGGCTATGGGACTCTAGACAGAGGGGGAGTCTAGTTAGTGCTAGGGTTCCACCGAGGAAGGACTGCTTCTTAAAGAATGTTATAAAGTGCCTGGGTAACTGGGATCACAGTTAAAGTGAGCTAGGCAGGATGTCTCTTTCAGGGCCCTTCTCTATTAAAGGGGACAATTGATGGCATCAGCCCTTGAATGTTAGATCCTATAATAAGGGCACTCCTTGGGAGAGGCAGAGTCCATACTTAAATCCTGATAGAAATTGCTGGAAATCAGATCCCACACCAAAGGCTCTAGACTGGAACTTCTCTCTGTTGATATAGGCAGGCCCCTGTTTATTTTGTCATCTGTTATTGACTTTTTAAAATGTCATTAAGTTGCTTCATTTTGCTCTCAGAACTCTGTGACATGGAGATAGTAAATATTTATAGCATTAATTTCAAGTAAGTCAAATTGTAGTCTGAGAAATGAAGTTCAGGCTCCCCTGGGTAAGCAATGATGGAACCAGGACGGGAATCAGACCTCCTGGCTCTGACTCTGGCACTTTCTCCAGCACACAGTTAGGGAGAAGGAGGCTCCACAAACATTCTTACCTTCCCCTCTGTTGACAGGGGGAGGAAGTAGAGAAGGCCAGAATCAATGTAGATGCTCACACAGAGCACCATTGAGGCAGAGGAAGACAGGGGTAGAAAGTAGGAAGTGAAGAAGGAAACAGGTGGAGTTTGCATGGACACTTCCTGTTCACAAACTTTTTGCGTTTCCCATTTCATTAACGGCAGCAGTGGAATTTCATGGGCAATTGGCGTTGAGCACTAACTGGGAGGTAATGAAAGAGGGAGGGTGTAGGTAAAGGCTGTTGGAATTGAAATTCTTTTTCTTCAGGGTGGGGATGGGAGGGCAGATTTTTTTAAAGGCAATTTTAATCCTGGAATAGGTTCCTAGAAAATAGCTTTGGACTTTCATGGCCTGTGCTGGCAGCATCTGGATGGATGGCCGTCTCTAAGCCTTGCTCTGCCCACCACCCTCCTGAAGACTACCCTCAGGGAGGGGTAGAGATGTGGATGCCTGGGGACTGTATATCTGACCTTGGGTAGATTTTGTCCCTCTGACTTGGGAAAGCACATCAGATATGAGTCCATCAAGCAGTGAGCTAGAATGAAATGCTTTGCATTTGTTACTGCAGAATCCCTACATGATGAACTCTATGGACCTGGGAGGGATAGGTATGTGGAAAGCAGAAGGAGCAAACAGAAAGCCAGAAGTCTGCACACACACCAAAGACTCAGGCCAGAGTTCGTCTATGTTGATAGTAGTCACGTCTCTGATTTATTTTTGTCATCTATTATTTGCTTTTCAAAATGCTGCTATTTTGCTCTCATAATTCTAAGATATGGAGAGAGTAAATATTAACAGTCCCTACTTTAAATAAGGCAGACTGAAGTCTGAGAAGTGAAGTTTAAGGTCTCCTGGGTAAATAATAATAGAACCAGGCTCAGCGTCAGGTCTGGAAGCATGTGGTCTATTGGGTAATCTCTGTCTGTCTATCCCTCTTCCTCTCCACATATAAACATGCATTAAAGAGGCTACCATTTAAAGGGAGAAGGATGTAAGGTAATATAAGACCAAAGACAAAATTGAGGAGACAGAGCTCTGGATTGATGATCCTGGAGGAATTAAGTTGTTTTGAGCAGGGCTCAAGGACAAGTTGACATATAGATTGTTAAATCAAATGGAACTGGGCATGGTGGCACAGTACATACAACCTCAGCACTTGGAAGGTAGAGTCAGGAGTATCAAGGGTTCAAGGTCATCCTTGGTTGCCTAGTATTCAAGCTTAGCCTAGACTACAAGAGACCCTACTTCAAAAATCTAAAACCAAACTTTTTTGCTTAAGCCTAAGTATATATGGTTGCTGATGATGGCTCAGGGAAAGTGAAAGCTTGCTCATTACTGTATACTCTATTCTATTTAAATATCTTTATTGTGAACATATATGTTTACTGATTCAGTCAATAACCAATAAGATGCCTGTCTGTGTCGTCACTGAAAAGTGACAATGGAGTCTGGGAGACATTTTTTAAACCTACCCATTCTTTCCCCTTCAATCCCTCTCCAAACACTATTCAGCTTTCTCTAAGTGTTGTGACCCTATATCAAGTAAGACCAGCAGTCTCCATGGTCATACTCTGCTCCATAGTGCCCAGAGAGTACACAAGGTGACAGTATAGAGCACCAGCACAGCAAGGTAGATTCGGAAAAGCAGCTGATCAAAGTGGTACAGGATGGCCAGCCACTCCATCTCCTTCTGGTAAACCTGATCCCGAGTTCGGAGAGAGTTGTTGATGGATTGGAGCTGGAGCCAGGCTTCCTTCAGGGTATCTGGCTGAATCTGGTGCGCCTGGCAGACTGGGGACCCTGTGTGATGGAGAAAAACACTCTAGATGAACTGGGAGCACTTGTTCTTATTCTTCAAGGAAAGATTGTTGCTGGGGTTGGGGAGTCTCATCCTATCTGCTCAGGAGAGGCACAGCTATGCTGAGGGAAGGCCCAGAGAACAAGACAGATCTGTACATGTCAAGGGTGAGTGTGTGTAGGATAGATCTATCTAGAAGATTTCCTGAGGTAGGATGGTTCTCAAACTTTGTTATACAAAGCAATCAGAATCGAACTATTCATATTCCTTCCCACCTTTGTGTGTAGTATGTGTATGTAGTGTGATATGTGTGTTGTGTATAGTATGATGTGATGTGATATGTGTGTGTGTGTGTGTGTGTGTATGTGTGGTGATGTGTGTGTATAGAATAATGTGGTATGTGTGTATATGTGTGTGTAGTGTGATACGTATATGTATAGTGTGATGTATTGTGTGTGAGCTGTGATATGTGTGTACATAGAGTGTGACATGTGGTATGTGTGTGCACGTGTGTATATGTGGTGTGATATGTGTATAGTGAGATGTATGGGGTGTATGTGTGTGGGTGTGGGTGTGTGCTAGAATTCTACAGTTTTTGAGTTTGTAGCTCAGTCACTACAGTAGAAATGAAGTGAACTAGAGGTGACTAAAGACTTCACTTTCAAGCTAAAATGACCTCTGGCAGGTGTTTCCCATTATTCATACAGTCCAGGGTTGGCCTGATACTTCCCCAGTGGACCCAGGTGCTCAGCATGACAAAGCAAACAAGGTGGGGATCACAAGGCTTCTTACCTGTTGTTTCAGCACTGGGAGCCCTGGGGTACAATCTAGACTCATCAGCATCAGAGTCTCCTCCAAGGCAAAGAAGAGGCCTGTCTTGCCCACTGTGCCACTCCTCGTGGAGGAATTTGATCAACAAGATGGACTTGGATAAGCTGAGAACCAAGAGGGCCATGCAGACAGTAAAGAAGACCCCTGAGGAAGGACCAGAGCAGAGAAAGGGTATTTAGCTATCTAGTCTATCTAGACTATTAGCTATAATAGTCTATCTGATGGTGCAACACCAGTTCTTGGCCAGGAGTGGTCTAGGAGGGCATCCAATGACACCAGGGCTACTTACCAATCAGAGACATGCACCCTGCACTCCTTGGCACCTCGTCAGACATGTTGACCCTGAAGACTGTGTAGCCCACCAGCACATTGGTCTTGAATACAATTCTTGCACGGCAGTTGGGGGGCAGGTAGAAGCTCCCCAGGTCCACAAGCATCAGGAAGATGCTAGGAATCAAGAGGCTCACAACATAGGCCAGTGGGCATCTACGAATCACCACCTGGCAGAAGACAAGGGAGCTGTTCAGTCCAAGCAAACTGTCTGACACTTGACCGAGTCCATAGTCCTTAAGTCCCAGACCTTGTGTGTAATCAAAAATAGATATGTAGTTTATGGTAGGAATGTATTTGAGGCAGCTGAGTGTGCTGGTAAATGCTTATAATCTCAGAATGTGGTGAGCTGAAGCAGGAGGATTGCTATGAGTTGGAAGCCAGTCTGGACTATATAACAAGACCCTGTCTCAAACAACACACATACACACCATTATCAGGTCTCTGTGAAAACTTTCCATCTTTTTGAAACACAAAATAGCCTCGTGTGTGTGTGTGTGTGTGTGTGTGTGTGTGTGTGTGTGTGTGTGTGTGTGTGTTTATATAAATGCAGAAACCACAGTAAGATGCCATGTGTCTTCCTTTGTCATTCTTTGCCTCATTGCCTGAAACAGGGTATCTCACTAAACCAGAAGCTCAGGACTTTGGCTAGGCTGGCTTGCTCATGAGTTCTCTGGATCTGTCTGTTTCTGTACCAATGATGGACTTATAACCTGGGGGTGTAGCTCCATTGATAGAGTGCCTGACTAACATGTACAAAGCCATGGATTCTATCCCCAAAACCGCATAAACTGGGTATGTGGGTACACACCTGTAATCCCAGCATTGGGGAGGTAGAGGCAAGATCAAGGCCATCTCTCTTGTGGTGGACATTAGTAAAGCCTAATGAGGCAAACCAGCATCCTGGTCCCTTTGCTGTTGGATTTGCCCCAGCACACTGCATAATAGCTCCCATTTCTTGGATTTGCCAGACAATGCAACACTTGACTACTTTCTATGTGTTAGATCATGTGCTAGACGTTTCTACATTCATCATATTTTTATTTTATTCTCATCATCAACTTGTTGGATAGATAACATCCTCCATCTCATAGATTTTCAAAACACTTCACCTGTAAGTAAGTTGAGTCAGTGGCCGAGCTGTGATGTTACCCTACATCTTCTGATCCATGGTGCTTTTCAGCTACAGCCTAGCTACAAATCTGGATCTGCCCAGATGTGGGAGAGAAGACAGGAGACATTCTCTGTCTCTCTCTGTCTCTCTCTGTCTCTCTCTGTCTCTCTCTGTCTCTCTCTGTCTCTCTCTCTCTCTCTCTCTCTCTCTCTCTCTCTCTCTCTCATCTCCATCTCCTGCTCTGGGAGAAAAGTACAAAGAAATGAACACAAAGAAGAGGTATAGAGACCAGTGATGGAGTGTGGCGGAGCAGCTTGGCTGGGGAAGTTCACACACCTTGCTGATGAGAGCTGAGGCTCCCTAGTCATCAGATCTGGGAACATGTCCCAACTCAGTGGAGCTTGGCAGGCCAGAGCTGTTTGGTGGATTGTAGTCTGGCTGTTGTCTTCCACATTAAACATAATTGGCTGCAAATATCTACACCAGTGCAACACACATTGCTTTGCAATAATTTGGTTAAAACACATTTCTACCAAAGTGCAGTCAACAAGAAAAAAACAACACAGTGAACTACCATCAACCTGCAGCTCTGTTGGGCTCTGACGGAGATAGTCTTGGGAGGGTAGTGGTGGGAGGAAGAGTGGCCTTCCTCCCACCACCCTGGGAGTTTATGTTGTGATCCAGCTTGGGATGCTGGTGATCTGGTCTCTTAGAGTGGGAGGTGAAGGGATCATACCTGATCAGGTGGGAGGAAGAAATGGGATTACCCCTGGAGGGGGGGGACGGGAGGGGGGGGGGGGGGGGGGGGGGGGGGGGGGGGGGGAGTCTATGAGTATCACCGGAAAGAAAAGCACAAGGCATGTTGGTTAAGGGGGAGGGGCCTAGATCTGTAGTCAAAGAATAGAGCCTATGTTGTAAATCTATGTGATCCTGAATGGGGCAGCCAACCCCTCAATTCCTTCTTCCTTTTTTTGTATATGTGTATGTATGTATGTACATATGTATGTGTACAAGGGGTGTGTTGTATACATATGAATGTGTGTATGTGGAGATCAGAGACTAACTTTAGGTGTCATTCCAGAGGAACCATTCTAATTTTAGATGGTGTCTGTTATCAGCTTGAAACTTACTAAGTACACTAAGCTGACTAGCTAGGGAGTTCCAGGGATCTGCCTATCTCTACCTCCCCAGTGCTGGGGTTACAAGCACATGACCACACACCAGCCTTTCCTGCCTTGGGGATTGAGCTCAGGTCCTTCCATTTGCAAGTCAAGCACTCTCTATCAACTGAGCTATCTTCTGAGCTCCTGAGCTCCCCTCCCTTTTTTTTTTTTTTTTTTTTTTTTTTTTTTTTTTTTTTTTTTAGAGAAGCAGGGTGCTTTTGTCTTGCCAAATAGCCCAGGTACAATTGAGCTATTGTGCTTTGAAATAAGGTCCAGGTGTAATTAGCACAGGTAGAGATGATTCCTCTCCACCTAGATGCAGACATAAAACACAAATCTAGGCTGAAACCAAAGGTGAGTTGTGTGGTTCCTCAAAGACCACACACTCCAAGGAAGTGTAGATTTATCAGGCTAAAGGTTCCCAAGGATTGGAGGGTTAAGAGAGGTCTGAGAAGAATTATGAGGTTCGTAGGCTTTTGACTTGTGCATCTATACATGGTCCTGAACTAGGAAGGACCTTCACAGGGTCTCAGTAGACACAGGAAGCAGAAGGAAAAGACACAGGTAGCCTATTAGGTAATTAGCTTCTGCTGTAACATAAAACAAATAAACTTCCATATTTCCATCTATCTTACAAAACTGGAAGCTGACTATGCCTTCTGAAACTACCTCATGTATATTCTCTTGTAGTACCATAGTCTGGGGTTTCTTCTAGAATAAAGGACCCACCTTTTTCTATGCTTTAGAGTCAATGCCTTCTAAAAATTAAATTAATGTTCTCTACAAGCCTGGTACAGCCAAAAAAAATGACACAAAATCAAAACAAACCTCTAACTTTATTTTTGCTTTCTGAAATTTTTATTATCTCAGTCGATCCTCGGCTTTCTTACTATAAATACTAGAGATATTGTGCCAAGAGTAGGGCAAGTCCCTGTCCTTGACTGGTTTTATGAGTTTGGGAACCAGACTGACGTTTGGTAAGTATATGGGGGAGAAAGAAAACTTGCTCCAGAATGAACCAAAACCAGAGTCCCTATCTCATTTGCATGATGACACTAAAGATTTCCTAAGCTTAGCACTATTTTATGCAGAGATTGAACCTAGGACTTCCTGCATGCTAGACAAATATCCTACCAAGTGAGCTATAGCTCCTTGGGTAGATTTTGATGTCTGTGATAGATACAAAGAGTCTTTATAATTCACCTCTGTACCCTATATGCCTGTCATTGTCCTTGTTAGCTTAAATAATCAATTTGACACAGCCTAGAGCCATCCGAGAGGAAAGCCTTGATCAAGGAATTGTCTAGATCAGATTGGTCTGTAGGCATGTCTGTCAGATTATTATCTTGATTATTACTTGATGCAGGAGGACCCTGCCCATTGTGGGTGGCTCCATTCCTAGGCAGGTGGCCCTGATCTGTATAAGAAAACTAGCTAAGCATGAGCCTGGGAATGAACAAACCAGAGAGAAAACCAGCAAGCAGAATTCCTCTATGGTTTCTACCTTAGTTTGCTGCCCTGAGTTCCTAACCTGACTTCTTTCAATGATAGGTTGTAACCTGGAAGTATGACCCAAATGAACCCTTTCCTCCCCAAGAAGCTTCTGGTCACATTACTTTGCCCAGCAACAGAGATTAAGCTCCAACAATCATTGATGCTGAAAAGATGTTCACTGAACTACATCAGGGTCTTTTAACAATGTTACCTTTAGTTTCAATAGACTGGAGATGTGAGATTAGCCCAAATGGTGGTCATCCCATTAGGGTCAGTCTTCATATGGACATCCTCCCGTAGATCCCATGAGAACCCATGACTCCTGCTTCTGCTCAGAGGAATGCATCACCTGCTCAGTGTGACACTGTTCTCTGTAAGTCTACCCTACCCAGAGCCCATCATTCCTAATGGACTAGAGGAGCTGGTTCTTTAAATTCCACAGAAAAGGAAGAAAAGGCACTTTAGTTTCAGCCTGTGTTCGCCATTAGACACCCTTCAGGTGTTAGCAATATTATGCCACAATTTCATTATCCATTAAAGCCAGGTAATAATAAGTACACAAAGGTATTTGGAGCCTATTGATGTTAATGAAAGAGATCAATCTAATTCAGAATGTGTATGTGGAGAGCTCCTTGGAGATGGAATAGGCCCCAAGGTTAGCCTCTAATTGCCTCCTTGATGGTAGACCCTACCAGTACTCAATTTTGCATGACCGTCTTTATGACATACTTGGAATTTTGACGCCCAGACTCACGCACCATACAGAAGCCTGTTTTCCTCCCCTCCCACGTCCCTCCTCATACCCCTGGTTCAGAAGGAATGGGAAAGTTGTTGCCATTGAAATGAGAGCCTTGTACCAGAGTGAGGGCTTTGGGGATGTAGACTGTGGGTTGGGCTGGATTAACAGAAGGTTTGTGATTCTGGTTTTCCTTGAGCAAACCTAGGATGATTCTACAACTTAAGATTCCCCCTCCCTCCTTCCCTCCATCCCTCCTTCCCTCTCTCTCTCTCCCTCCTTCCTCCTCCTTGGAAGGCTAACCTGTCAAGTATGAGCTGCATTCACATTATTGATGAAGAGTTTTTGAAGGACACCAGAATGCCTTGAATCCTAAATTCGTAACATTCAACGGAAATCTCAATAAAATCAACCTAATCTATAAAAGACATGAGAATCATGATAGAAAAAGAGAGAGCATGGCATCTCTCTTTCCCAAATCCCCTTTTCATTTCCCCAGTACTCTGTGAGTTTCCATTGCCCTCACTCAGTGTCAAAGCATTTTGACCATCTCTTTCCATCCAAAATGACTTCTAGATTTTCTTCCTACCTCTGCCCACCCCTACAAGGTCATACAGAAACTGAATGTCCATCCTGCTGTTTTCTGGGAACCAGCAGCTCCAATAATGTATTGGAAGTAATCTCCCTTCCCATGGCTGTTGGATTGGGTCCCAGGCTATACACAAACATCCTTACATGGAGAAGAGCTTTGTCTGGGCCCCCTGTGGAATGTAGTTGGATTCTGAAACATCAGTGGTACCCTGTGATAAACAGCACATGTCCCAGCACTAGTGGCTGTGATTGTGTTAGCTGAAGCTAATGGCATCCTGAGCATTTGGTGCCAGATAAATGGTAGTGGTAGCCATGTGCGTTAGCATGGGATGAGGCTGTGTTTAGAAGAGAATATTGTCTCTCTTGCCTGTTCCAACTGTCCCTAGCTTGGTCTGGGGCAAACAGGTGATTATATTAGGAGGAAGATGGTCCTTTACCATCAGGACACCACCAAGTGCCCTGTTGGCACAGAATTGAATTTCCCATACTACAACACTGGCCAAGGGCTTTTGAATGACACCAAGATGCCTTGGATGCTAAATGTAGAATGTCTTATATGGAATGAAAACAATGAAGCCAGGCATGGGGCACGTGGCAGCAGCCATGGGAAGGTGTGGAAGTTGGGAGATGAAACCAGTGAGGGTTCTGGAACATGCGACTCTTTCCAAAGTTGCAGGATCACTTCTGAGTCTGGCTAAAATGATCTGTAACTTTACTCAGGATTTTTTTTTTTGTGTGGTATTTGGTTCAAGAGAATCAGGTGAAAGCTTGCTTTTCCATGTAACCCACCTTGGTCTCCAGGGCAAAGACACCTTGGAGAAAACTTCCAGGACATGAAATCAAACACATGTGTATCCCTACCTCCAGCATGTCTCCATAGAAACACCATAACAGAGAGGAATGTGGTGATGAAGAGAGCAAAGGAACTGGACCATGGTTCCTACATGGAGGGATGCCTCCCTTGAAGCAGTGCTTACCTTCTTTCCTATTGCGAATGGACCCAGATGCTCTCAAGAAGACAAGCTAATATTTAGGGGAAAGGGTGGCATGTAATGGCAGAGACAGAGAGAGAACAAGAGAGCACACAAGGGTATACCCACACTCACACTCCCATTTACCTGCTGTCTCTTGCCTTTGTCTGTCTCCGTGCAGTGTAGGTAATGATGTGTGCAGCACTCCGTGGAGTGCTTGGCAGGTGACTGGTTCCACCTTGTACTTGCCATTCCCTCACATTTCCCTTTAATGCTCTCCATTATTTGGGCTGCATTAATAATGTTTGCAGGCTGATATCTTTAAAATTAATGAGGTGTTTACTCTTAGCCAAGAAACTCATTGAAATAAAAAAAGCTTTCTTCCCCCTACTCTTTTTCTCTTACTAAAACCAAGTGGACAAGAACTGGGTATGTGACTCAGTGGTAGGGTGCTTGCCTAGAGTGAGCAAGGCCCTTCCTTGTTTGAGCCCTAGGATTAAAAAAAAAACAAAGAAGAAAGAGTGGTCAGGTAGGCCACAATAGACACTTGGTTGAATTGTAAGTTAGAAAGAATTTCAGTCTAAAATCCCCTGCTCCACAGGCATGTTTTGCAATGGGTTATTAGCCAACGTATAGCCTTGAGGGAGGCTCAAACCGTGGTGCTTTAAGGCTCTGGCATAACAGGAGTTTTTCTAGATAAACACATACCTTTCAACCAATGGAGGCCACTCATGCCCTCAGGAACAGCTGATCTCACTCTTTGCATCAGCTCTCAATCTGGTCTGCAGGCACCTCATCCCCAAGGCCTAATTCTGGAGGAATCCATGTCATGGGCACTCCTAACCTTTTTGCAATATCTATTTTTCAACTGGATTTATTCTTTGTCATGAATATCATCCTCCTACCCTGTCGAAAATACCACCTTTACTTTGTGCAGTAAAGCAGGGCTCTCTGCCAAATTCTAGCTCAGAGAGTCTACCTGTGATGTGAACATGCCTGTGACTACAGCAGGGTGGTTTGCCGGGAAAGCCAAAGGAGCAGAAGCTCGGCAGGAAAAGTGGTGAGCACCACTATCCTTCTCCCAGAGCTCCTTAAGACAAATTTCCCTGGGTACAGTTTGACCAAGAATACTCCCAGGGATACATCAGAGCACCATAGCTTCCACCATGACCTGGTCAGCAGTTGTTCCTTCTGACCCTGAAGCACTAGTAGCTTGCTTTCTCTATCTGTGTCTGTCTGCCTGTTTTTTCCTTCCTTCCTTCCTTCCTTCCTTCCTTCCTTCCTTCCTTCCTTCTTACCTTCCTTCCTTCCCTCCCTTTCCTCCCTCCCTCTTTCCCTCTCTTTTCCTTTTCTTTCTTTTTATAAAATAGGGTCTTATGTAGCCCATGCTGGCCTCAAAGTCAATCCTATTCCTCTGGCCTCCACCTTCCTAGTGCTCATATCCCAGGTGTGTGTCACCATGCTTGGTTTATGTGTGCCAGTGATCAACCCCAGGGGATCCATGTAAGTTACCAACTCAGCTACATCTCCAACCCCACTCGTTGTTTCTATGGGTCATGCAGATGACTATCAGCTCATCCCCTTAGATATTCGAGTTAGTAATATGATCATTTTATGCATCTGCATCTGAAATTAATTGATAATTTTCTCAATTGAAAATGGGACAATTATGTTGATGAGACAGTTTCTTCGTTGTTGTTGTTGTTGTTTTTCCCCTAATTCATTATGATGCTGATGGTGTGTACATTGCTTTGGGCTTTATTCCCAGTGAATTAGAAGTGATAATGTTTGTGTAAGCCACAAGGTTTGAAGACTTCTTCTGTGAGGTGGGTCAGACTCTGGAGTCTGCACACCATTCTCTCTGATTCCCTTGTAGATTATGGTAGTAGCTCGGTAGCCTAGGATCTCTGCTTTCAAACACTGCAGCACAGGGGAATGGGCCAGCTCAACACACTGCTCCCGGTGATAATGAGGATATGCAACAGAGCAGATTGCACAGCAAAATAGAGAAGGCCGAGGACTACAGAGACGTAGGTATCGGGTACAAAGGAGTACCTACATTAAACTGAATCTGGGCGAAGTTTCCAGTGCTGCTCCGCAGGATGTGGTATGTGGAGGACACTGAAAGAAGTTGCCACTCAGTGTCATTCAGAAATGCCCTTTTGTCATTCTCGATGTCTTCTCTATTCCTCAAGAAGCCCAGGTCTATGTCTTCCACTAAAACAATAACAGAAACAATGGACTTCCTGGGAGAGAGAGAGAGGAGCCAGCATGTCCCACTTTCCCAAACCCCAGCTTTAGCCCTTCCTTTTTATCCTATCCACACACACAGTATTACTGGTATTTGAGTTACAGAGCAGAGGCAGGAGACAATATTTCTAATCTTTTCTTAAACTATGTATTTAGAGTTGGATCCTGCTCTCTACAGTGTGTCCTGTGACTTTTAGAACATTCTCAATGGTAATAGAATCGGATGTCATAATAACAAATAAACAGCACTGGTGGGTTTTAACATTGTACCTTGTCTGGATTCTAGGAAAACCCACTGCAATAATACATCTTTTAAATTGTTCTTTTTGTTCTTTTTTATTTTTTTCTTGTTTTTTATTGAGCTGTACATTTTTCCTCGATCCCTCCCCCTCCTCCCCTTCCACCCTCCTCCCCTTCCACCCTCCTCCCCTTCCACCCTCCTCCCCTTCCACCCTCCTCCCCTTCCACCCTCCTCCCTGCCCCCCATGCTCTCAATTTACTCAGAAGATCTTGTCTTTTTTTCCCATTCCTAGGTGGATCCATGCATGTCTCTCTTAGAGTCCTCCTTGTTTCCTAGCTTCTCTGGGATTGTGGACAGTAGGCTGATTATCCTTTGCTTTATGTCTAATATCCACTTTTGAGTGAGTACATATTATATTTATCTTTCTGGGTCTGGGTTACCTTACTCAGGATTGTTTTTCTAGTTCCCTCCATTTGCCTGCAAATTTCAAGATTTTTTTAACCGCTGAGTAGTATTCCCTGTGTAAATGCACAACATTTTCTTTATCCATTTTTTGGTTGAGGAACATCTAGGTTGTTTCCAGGTTCTGACCATTATGAATAATACTGCTATGAACATATTTGAACAAATGTTCTTGTGGTGTGAGTGGGTATTCTTTGGGTATATGCCCAAAAGTGGTATTTCTAGGTCTTGAGTTAGATTTATTCCTAATTTTCTGAGAAGCTTGCCATACTGATTTCCAAAGCAGCTGTACAAGTTTTCACTCCCACCTGCAGTGGAGGAGTGTTCCCCTTTCTCCACATCCTCTCCAGCATAAGCTGTCATCAGTGTTTTGTTTGTTTGTTTGTTTGTTTGTTTTTAATCCCAGCATAAGCTGTCATCAGTGTTTTGTTTGTTTGTTTGTTTGTTTGTTTGTTTTTAATTTTGGCCATTCTGAAAGGAGTGAGATGGTAGCTCAGCATTGTTTTTATTTGCATTTCTCTGATGGCTAAGGATGTTGAGCATTAATAATACATTTTTTTAAGCAGAGTCTCATGTGTCCCAGGTAAACTCAAGCTCTCTCTACAGCCAAGGATCTTGAATTTCTGATCTTCCTGCCTCCACCTCCAAAGTGCTGGGATTTCAGTTACATGCTACTACATCCAGTTGACATTTAGATTTTTGAGCAATCAACCATGTGTAAGAATAGAATAGATCTGAAGTTAATGTCATTTCACCTATGAATGCCCACACAGCATAGGTATTCCCAGAAGACTGTGCCTCTGTGGTTCGTTTACCTGTGTGCAGAATGCTATTGAAGGTGAGACTGCAGTTCTGGATGTCAAAGGGAAAAGCGTATGTCTGCAAACTGCATGCAGAGACCACTTGGATGGGCTTGTGGTTACTAATGGTTCCAGAAGAATTCACATATACATAGGGGAGGTCTGGAGATCTTTCAAGGTCCACACTATATGAAACACAAGAGAACCTGTTATGGAGAGGACCTTAGTCATTTCCAAACACACACAGAACTGACTATGAGGTGGTAGTGACCATGGGACCCAAAGCTAGATTTAGAAGAATAAGAAAAAGGATGGAATGATATTTCCCATGAGATGATTCGCCCTGACAGATACTCTCAGAAATGACAAGTCTCATCATTAACTCACCTGCATAAATAATAACTCCAAGCACCACTAATCAAATATGTATTTTTAAAAAATATATTTAATTTTAAATTATATGTACATAGGGATGGTGTGCCCAGGTGAGTACAGGTGCCCACAGAGACCAGAAGAGAGCATCAGATCCCCAGGAAATGAGTTACAGGAGGTTATGAACTACCCAATGTAGGTGCTGAGAACTGAACCCCTAGTCCTCTGAAAAAGCAATACAGATTCTTAACTACTAAGCCATCTCTCCAATCTCCAAATCAGTATCCTAAATGATGTCAACTCATGCTAATTCCATCCTGAATATCCCCAATAGTATGACCCCAGTGACTGGAGAAAACAAAAGTATAACAATGACTGAAAATAAATGGCATTTGACCTAAACAGATGAATTAAACCAACGGTCACAGAAATACAACCCCAGAACACTTACAACTCATTAATGATGATATCAGGAGCCCAGATGGCACTGAGAGGAAGAGAGATTTCTTGAATCTCATCAAACAGGCTTGAGTTCCAGGACAAAAACTCATCATTCCAAACCTGTTAGGAGTAGCCAAGCAGGACACAACAACATGAGCAAGCTTCAGTGCACTGACATAACTGAGTACTGATCCAGTTCATCAGCCCCGTGATGTACTCTGTTGGGGGGAAGGAAATCCAGGCTATGGCTACATCCTTGCATAGATTCTAATAAACTAGGCCTGCTCTGGGCTAAGGGACTATGCCTACAGGTAGGACCCCTTCCTTAGGACAACTGCATTTTTAGGTAGATCCCGATCAGGAACCCAGCATGCAGAGAGGGAAGGAGAATCAGTTACCTCTTGGTACCACACGCTTGTCTTTAATTTTTGATTCTGTACATCCTGTGGAGCAAGAAAAGAACATCCAGAGAATCTAAGCACATGGGCGAGTAAAGGCAAGTTTGGGAGCATCCCCATAAAATCCCAGCACATCAATTATCAGAGGCAAGTGCAGTCATCTGATAGTTTAAGAGGGAGGGAAATCAAACGCAACCAACCAAGGCTGATTTTAAAAACATTACCTAGCCTCCTCGATACCAGAGTTTCCCCACTTCCCGCTTATCATGCACACCTGTGGCTTTGAATGTGGCTCTATTATTCAGGACAAAATAGCACTCTGACTGCACTTAACATTTTGAGTGATTTTCTAATCTCTTTTCCCGCTCTAATTAGTTACTCTGCCATTAATCAAACTAAAAAAAAAGTATGATATGTAAGTCTTAGCCAATATTGAGCTCAAAAGATGAGACCAAGCTCCTGCTTCTAATCAAGGTATTATTCATAATCTTTCAATGAAAGCTATCTTCACTGACACATGAAGCCATTTCTGCTAAGTTACTTTGTGTTTAAATTTGTCTGCTTGTGAAACAGACTGATGAGCTCAATATAGGTGAGGTATACCTTCTTGACAACAGATGTGATTTTCCATCTCTGCAATAACTCAGTGATCTTTTTTTAATTAAAGAAAAGTGTTTTATGTGTATGAGATTTATACCTTCATATATATATATATATATGTTCATGCCTGGTGCCCATAAAAAGCCAGAAAAGGACATTGGATTCCATGAAACTGGAGCTACAAATGATTGTGAGCTACCATGTGGGTGATAGAAATCGAACCCAGATCCCCTGGAAGAGCAACCAGTGCTCTTAACCCTTGAGCCACCTCTCCAGCATCTTGGTGATTTTTTTGTTAAAGATCTACCCCCAAACAGCAGCAGCAGCAGTAACAACAATGATGAATCCTCTTTGCCAGCATTTTTCATATCTAACCTAGTAAAGGACATTCTAAAAATAAGATGTTCTTGGGGATTAAAAAAGAAAAGTTATTTCACACATGTAGTATCTAACAACCATTAACTATGAAAATGGATCACAAGCCTGAATGTTTGAGCTAAGACTAGAAAACTCAGACTCTTGAGACTTTGAATTACATGATGTTTTCTTAGATATGAAAGCAGAAGCAACAAGTGAAAAAAGTGAGATTTTTTATCAAAATTAAAAACTTTCATGTGGGATAAAGACATGGCTGAGCAGTTAAGATCACTTGCTGTCCTTACAAAGGGTATGAGTTTAGTTCTCAGACCCACATCTGGCAGCTCACAACCACATGTGACTACAGTTTCTAAAGCTCTGATGGCCTCTTCTGGCCTGCATAAACAGCTGCAATATAAACATACACACCCATATATAAGAATAAATATAAATATTCTAGAACTGGAAAGATGGCTCAACAGTTAAGAGAGCTTTTTGCTCTTCCAGACAACCCAGTTCCAGGATCTACACTCTTCTGGATTCCCGGGGCACTGTGTGCGAGTGGTGCATGGATATATGTGCAGGCAAACACTCATACACTTTAAATAAAGTTAAATTTTTAAAAAAAATGTGTAAAGGTAAAGTTGACAAAATGAGGCAATATAATGTTAAAATATTATCATCATCTTTGTGTGTGTTGTGTAGGCATGTATATGCCATGGCACACATGTTAAAGTCAGAGAACAACTTCCAATAATCAGTTCCTGCCTTCTACTGTGCGTTCTGGGGTGGAACAAATGCTTTGACCTACTGAGTCATCTCACCAGCCCCAAGACATTATACCATATACCAAAAAAACACAAACATTCATAAAAGACTCTGAGAACACCTGCATGCCAAAGGGCCAGGAAACCTAGGGTAGATGGGTGAATTGCTAAGCAATATATCAAAGTTGAACCACAAACTCACCACTCCTTGTAATCCCATCACTTGGGAGGTAGAGGCAGGAGGACCCAGTATTCAAAGCCATCCTCTGCTATGTTAAGTTAGCTTCAGGCTTGCCTAAAGTATGTGAGACCCAGGCTTTAGAACCTAATCAAGGAGCTGGAGAGATAGCTTAGTGATTGAAAGTGCTCTTGCAGAAGACTTGAGTTCTGTTCCATCTCCCAAGTGCTGGGATTACAGGCACACACCACTATGTCCAGTTTATGCACGCCAAGCAAGCACTCCCCAGATGAGCTACCTCCCAAGCCCAAAGGAAACACAATAAGCTCTTTGGATTAAAGTTTCCCCTTTTTACAGTCGAGAAAGTGGGTTGGCTACTGAATATGCATTTCTAGGTACAGTGGGAAAGAAGAAAGTGAGCAGGCAAGGAGCCCTACTTCCAGGCTCAACAAAAGCTGCTTTGAACTCACTGGTTCTACAGATTTTTATGGACTTTAAATAGATACTTGAGAGAGGCAGGTTTTAAAGTGGTATGCAAAGTGAAAAGATTGAATTCACAAATATTTCCCCAAGGAACAGCTTGTAGAAGGACCAGTGGGGACCCCCAGCCAAGATTGGCTCAGCAGGGGTTCTGGAAGGTTTTTTTTTTTTAAGTCCTCTACTGAGAGCCCAAGATTAGGGGATACCGCTCACTCTCTTCTTTGGGAAATGTATGAGCCACGTGATTATGGAATAGATCATGCCTTACTCGCCCAAGTAATGCTAGGCTTAGTTACAATCCATGAGGATTCCCTACAAACACATATTTTTAAAATGTCCAAAATGCAGCTTATATTAAGGGAAGCATAGCTATTAACTATGCTCACAGGAATACTTTTTTTAATATTAAAATTACACTTATGTCACGTGCCAAAACGTGAGTGTGGCGGTCAGAGGACAACCTTGAGACTGGGTTTCCTTCTTCTTCTATGTAGGTTCTGAGGATGGAACTCAGTTCCTCAGGCTTGGAGGCAAGCTCCTCTACCTGCTGAGGATCTCATGGCAACATTGTCTTCCTTTGAGCGCCTCCATTGTTCTTACTGATTTCTCTATCACTGTCATAGCACCCTATAAACATCTCTCATTGATCAGGATAGCTGGGAAGAGGGTCTTCCTCTGTTTCCATGCTGCTTTTTGTTATCCTTTGATTCAGCTGACTCTGATTGCCAGCCATATTGATACTTTCACTCATTTTTTCCTTCCTGCCTATTGCTTTGTTGTTTTACACCTAGGAATGATGTTGGATATGTGTTCCCCTTTTTTTTTTTTTTTTTTTTTTTTTTTTTTTTTTTTTTTTTTTTTTTTTTTGCCTAGAATATTATAGTGGTGACTAGGAAGATTCATCATTCAGTCCTATAGAATGCAGTGTCAAAAAGTAGTTTGAGGCTAAAACTAACAATCTTTTTTTTTTCTTTCAAAGAAACAAGTTTCCCAATGCCAGCTGGTGAGTGTAATTGGTTCTCTGGTGGCATTATTCACAGCTCTTCCCTCTGCGTGCCTCTCTTTTTCTTTCGATACCTTCCATCTTGCTTGTTAAAAGCAAAGGATATTTCCGAGAATTGGAATTCATTAGTCTTCCTAACAGAGGGAGTCTATTTAGATCTAAATTGGTGGTTAGCAAATATACAGATAATTCCCTCACATTCTTATTTATCTTTCCTAGTTCCGGAGACCATGGAAACAGATGCCTGAACGTCTGGCTGGGAGGCTCCAGTCAATGGACTGGAATACAAAGGTATCCGGGATTCGGAATTGACAAAACTCAATAGAAACAAATTGAAACTCTTCACTGTTGAGTAGATTATCTCTATAATCAGATTTCCCTAAGGTACTCATAATACTCAGAAATTCGAAGACAAGACAGTAGGCTTTTCCATAAACAAAACAGGAGGCAAAACATGAGAAGGGAGGCGAGGTGCCGTGATGGGAGCCAGGCTGCGAGTTCTTCATTCAAACACAAGTCGGTAGCAGCACAGCTGCTAGCAGAGGCATCCGGCAAGTTTGTCGTTGGCACTGGGAGCATCCTCGTCTGGACAATCTGTGAGGAATTTTATCAGAACCTTCAGAATTGTTCCTATGGCTGCAACTAACTTTGTCTGGCTCATCTAAATATAATAGCAACATTTATAAAGTGTCTCTGGAGTAACCTAGTCATCCATTGAGATAAGCTTAGAATTAGTGTTTTTTTAATTCACTAGCTATTTTACAGTATTGATCTAGCATCTTGGAAGTAAAATATATTACAATGCAGCATGTGGTGGGAAATAAGAATACAAGCAACAAAGACTTCCTATCAAGAAACATATTACAAAGTAGGGAATGTGTAGATGTAGTGACCCATGCTATAACCCAGAACCCAAAGGGATGGGTGGTGGAACAGCTCAGTTCAGGAAAGTGCTTGCCTGGTTGCCATATAGTTTTTGTCAACTTGACACAAACCTGGACATGAGAAGGGGGAATATCAACTGAGGAAATTCGTCCATTAGATTGGTGTAGGGGCATGGTTTCTTAATTGCTAATTGACGTAGGAGGGTTCACTTTGGGTGGTACCATCCCTGGAAAGGCGGGCCTGGGCTGAAAAGAAGGTAACAGAGCTAGGCATTGTGGGTCATGCCTTTAATCTCATCACTGGGAGACAGAACCTGCTCTACATAGTGAGTTCCAACACAACTAGGGCTGTGAAGAGAGAGCCTGTTGAAAGAAAGAAAGAAAGAAAGAAAGAAAGAAAGAAAGAAAGAAAGAAAGAAAGAAAGAGGGGGAAGGAGGGAGGGAGGGAAGGAAGGAAGGAAGGAAGGAAGGAAGGGAGGGAGGAAGGGAGGAAGGGAGGAAGGAGGGAAGGAAGGAAGGAAGGAAGGAAGGAAGGAAGGAAGGAAGGAAGGAAGGAAAACTGAGCAAGCCAGGGGAACAATCCAGTAAGCTTCAATTCCTGCCTCCAGTTTCCTGCCTTGGCTTCCCTTCTTGTTGGGCTCAAACCTGTAAGGCAAACAAACCCTTTCCTCCCTAAATTGTCTTTAGACAATGTTTTATCACAGCAACAAAAAGCAAACTAGGACACTTGTGAACATAAGGACCTGAGTTCAATCCCCCAGAACCTATGTTAAAAA